TATATTATATTATGTTTTATTATATTATGTTTTATTATATTATATTATATTATATTATATTATATTATATTATATTATATTATATGGGAAGTGCTGCCGAATTTGGGGGGTTGTGGGCCATCCGAGTCGAAGGAGTCGAGCTGAGTCGAGCTGCTTGCGCCCAGGACGGCCTGACGGCTACGCTGAAGACCAAGTGCGAGACGAACCTGAACCTCATTGAGGTGAGATTTTTCTTTCTCTATCTTGATGTTTCAAGGGACCTGAAGCTCATTGAGGTGAGATTGTTCTTTCTCTATCTTGATGTTTCAAGGGTTTGGGACTGTTGATCGTCTGGCTGGCCTTGTTTTCAGCTGACGTCATCCAGCATCCCGTTGTCATCGTACAGCGATATTTATCATGAATCTTCTGTTCTGCTGGTGTCGCACAGCTACTATCAGTCCTGGCAGATCCTGGCAGTACTGGTCAGACTGACCTTGCCATTCCGGCTGGCCAACCTTGCTTCAAACATCGGTCACGATGGCTAGTGATGATTTGCATGGCTAAACTTTAACCCTAAGCATACTTTGAAGCACAGGAGTACGAGGGCATTCGACTCGCGGAGGAAGCAGGGCTCAAGGCGGCTCAGGACTGCAGTGACAGGGAGCTCGCTATGGTGGGGCTGATGTGGGTGGTAACACCGGCTGTGACCCAGCAAGCAGTCGCCAAGGCGCCACTGGCCAGCACCACGACCACCAGCACCACACGCCACCATCACCACCAAGACCAAGAAGAAAGGTAACAGGACCAACACCGCGAGAAATAACCGAATACGCCATTGGTTTTTCCAGGCCAATCGGCAGGGAGGTACTGCGGCACAGCAATCACACTAGCGGTTTTCAGCATCCACCCCGATTACACTTGCAGCAAGTGAGATGCATAGTAGCCAATGTAGCCTGTCAAGACGAGCAGCAGCAGCAAGTGCAACGACTATGCAGAGGCGTTGGACATCATGCTAAGAGAGCAGAACGTGGAACTGCACCACGATCAGGACGAGCTGGACAGCCTCTATTCTCTGGTCTTTCGCCTTGCAAAGGGCTCGGATTCTGAGGGCATGCGATGTCCTCGGTCGTAAGGTCTGCTAGACTGCTACTGTAGACGGTCTTCATGTGTTTATACTTGCATCTGGATGTGAAGGATAGGATGCCAATGTGTTAGCAAGGTGTCCTGATGTTTTGGTCCTGGAGGCTTGCACAATGGATCCCGCCGCAGGTGAACCTGATTTCTGACACGGAGGAGGGTGCCTATCCGGTGATGAGGCGCAGAAGGGAAGCAATCCAGGGGATTCTGGAAGAGGCGACGCCATCTCTGATTCTTTGAGTTTGTCTGTGCTTTGTGAAACCGCGTCCACGTTGCACCGCCACCACCAGCCTCAGCAGAACATAGTCACAGCCGCTTGAGCAACTTCCTTGTGCAAAGCTGCCTCGCCATGGCGCGAAAGAAGCTGCTCTCCTTTGCGCTTTTGCTTGGCGTCCTGATGCCGATCGGGATAAACCGCAACTTTCCACAAAAGGTCTCTTGCACAAACGTGGTGCCTTTGCGGGTATGCCTGTACTCAAGTAGCAGCCATAATGAGCATAGCGCCTTCGGGATCTGAGTTAATCTGTCCAGTTGGTCATTCTTTAGTCATGATCTGGCATGGCCCGACGCTTGTTGTCGACTCAGATCCGTATTCTCCAGCCTGAAATCTAAAGGCTTTTGCCACGACGAGCTTGTGGCAAAGATCCGATGCATCATTCAGCTTCGGCACAGTGAGACGGGGGCAAACAAGACTGGCGAAGACCCGCAGTCTTTCCCAGAAAGCTGAAGGACGTGCAGCATCCACACTTTCTTACTACCTGGTTTGGTCTCCGGGAATTTGGCCAAAGATGCTATGCTCCTTTGCAACGATGGTCACTCTTCAGCTTGTGGGCGGCCATCTCTTCAGCTCGAGCGGGCTAACATGTCCAGCCGGTCTCTCCCTTGTCCGGCCCATTTGGGACCTTTTCCTGCTGCCACTGCTGTCGAGTGCCTGCTGCGGAATTCAGCTCGTTATCAATGCTTTGGTTGGAGCTAGTGGCTGCGCCGGGTTCAACAAATGGTTTGGCCCTCTTCGGCCCTACTTTCTCGGCTGTCTCTTCAGCACGACGGCTGTATCCATCTTCCGGAGACACGGGAACTTTCGTTTCGTTTGGTTGCAGTGCATTCTTGCTTTCTTGCCGGAGCTCGTCCACCTTTGGAATCTGCACGGACCTCAGAGGCAGATCGGCGCTACACCTTCACACACGGTCGACCTAAGCATTGCCAGCATGGGCTGCGTGGCCTGTATCAAGAAGGCCAGGCGACGAATTCCCAAGAAGTTGGCTTCTCTTGCTTCCTCTTTATTTTTTTTTTCTCTCTCTCTCTCTCTCTCTCTCTCTCTCCCTCTCTCTTTATCGGAGACTGTCCTCTGCTACATATATATATATACACACATGTGTTTGTACAGACACGCTCACATATGGTACCTCCAAACCCACACCCAAGCTGATCATGTACTGCATCCGCATCCACCGGAAGGTCTGCCATCTGTATACCTTCGGAGTTCGCATCATCAGTTTAAGTTTTCCGTAAATCCAAAAGATTCCTGCCAGACTGGCAACACTGCAATTATCAGGTAGCACTAACATTTTAACATGTCCAAAATCACCAAGATGTAATCACCAGGATGTGGCACCTATGCAGTTAGATGTGCTGCCTGGGGCAGGTGGAAAGCAGCCTCCGCGAGGTCCCCGGCGTCTTGCGCTCGGAGGCTTGGCTCGAAGATGGTGGAAGGGCTCGGGTCCAATGCAGCGTCTCGGAGACGGAGGCGACGGACAGTCCCAAAAAGAGGCAGAGGCGCAGCGATACGCTGCGTCAGGGTTCTATGGTCCGCACCCTCTAGGAGCCTCATAAGCCCTAGCTGCTTTCTTGGTGCGCTTTCCCTGAAAAGGTATCTGAGCTGACAGCTCGGCTTTCAAGGGCGGTTGAGCGTGCGGGCTTCGAGCCTTGCAGGGTGATTGGCGTAAATCTGGAAGAGCCCTAACTAGCAGAACGCCGTAATCCGACAATGCAGACCCCACGCACAAGCACGACGGATGAAGAGCTGCAGACCACGTTGCGTGCCAAGCTCCGGATGAAGATGTGAATCATGGACGGCCCGCAAGCACTGACCGAGTCATAGAGGAGACAGAGACACCTCAAGCTTGGTCACGAAGGAGCTGCGGGGTGTCCGATTTGGTCTTTGGCAGTCTTAGCAGGATCCGTTTGCGGCGAGAATCGTGAGACGTCCGTGAGAGGAAGATTCTCCGCGAAAATTCAGGCTCCATCTGTCAAAAGCGCACGATTGCCGGAGGAGGGGAGCTGGATGTGGGGAGGAGCACAGGTTGCGTGCCGTTGCTGTTTCGCCTCACAGCTTATTATCTTGCGAGAGTGTACACAAAGCGCGTAAGGGGGGCAGAAGACTACACGCCACAGCGGTGCTGGCTGCATAGTACCTGGTTGGTGGCCGGCCGGCACTGAAGATGGGCGGGAGTGTCCCGAAACAAACCCGTGGTTCCCCCCCCCCAAGACACGATTAAGCCAGCGGCTCGAAGACTTGAAGTGATTACAAACTGCATCACTGAAGGCTGTGTGCCTGAAGTGGGGAGCCCTTTAGACTGTCCGAGAGCAGCTTGGGCTTGGACTTGCTGATGGCGGCAGCCTCAGAGTACCTGCAAAATTAGCAGAGTTTGCTTGCTTAAGCATCAGCTGGTTCGGCTACGCGCAGTACGCGGAGAGCGAGCGAGAGGGAGAGATAGAGAGAGAGAGAGAGACAGACAGACTTTCCCTCCTCATCCTAGTCCTGGCGAACGAAAGAGAGAGACTTTCTTTCGGCATGACATGGCTCGTACTGTCTGCGGAAGCCTCCACAGAGCAGTCTATTGGTTCCTTGGAGTGCAGTTACCGTTCCCATTGAATCTGTGGGACACATGCCCGCGGATCCGCCGGGGGAAGCAAATGTGTGATACTAGTAGTGTTAGTAATTTTGCTAGGCTACGTCCTTACAGGCAAGTGTGTGATGGTGTGACTAGTTTTTCAATGTTACTTCCCTGCAAAACCCCTTGGCCGGAGCCTCAGCTTGCAGTGCAGCACTTTGCGCACAGTCCCGCCGTTGTTTGAACTCCTACTCCTAGTATGGGCAGTCGTTTGGTTCCATGCTGGGTGTGGGTGTTCAGCATGTCGTGGGACGGTCATGCAAGGATTCCTCGAAGCTGGTGATATTTCCTGTCCTCTAGTCGAGTTGTCCCCAGTGTAGTATCCCATGTACTTCTGGTGTAACCATGTTTCGCTGTTTTGGGGACAAAGATGAGGGGACGTCAAGCCAATTCGAATGGTGTCCGTACTGTGTGCATGTTTCAGGCCAACAATGTGTGAAGGCCCCAGACAGGTTTCTTCATCTCAGAGTGGGCTGTTTACTGTATCATAGCATGTTGTAACCTAGCGGGGGACCCAAACCATTGTTGTTTTTCACGCCCCTTCAAAGACACCCCAAACAGTGGGGGGCCTTTAAAGGCCAGGGGGTCTCGCACACCCCCTATGCCCTGTGGAAGAAGGAGAGAGAGAGACTCCCCAGCCCGGCAGAAAGAAAGAACAGAGAGAGCCAGTGTTACATCTAGAGTCTAGCCCATCCGGTCAAAAAGGTGGATGGGGCAGCTCCACCGGGCAGAGCTCAGGGACTGCCGCACTGAGCAACGCAAAGAGAGCCAGTCAGGAAAGATCGACAGACAGAGAGACATATGGATAGATAGTGACAAGCGCAGGCGCGCACACACACACACACATATATATATATATGTATATATATGTATATATACACACACATAACACACATACACACGTACACACACATACACACATACACATACACATACACATACACATACACATACACATACACATACACATATACACATACACGTACACACACACATATACACATACGCATACACATACACATACACATACACATACACATACACATACACATACACATACACATACACGCACACACACACACACGCATATATATATATAAATGAATGAGTATATATATATATTTATTTATGTATTCATTTATTTGTTTATACAAATAAACAAATACAATATATATATACACACATACATATGAGTGTGTATGTGTATACACATATATACATACAATACACATACAACACATATGCGTGCATACAAATACAAACATATACATCTAGGTAGAGACCGTCTTTTGGCCAGATCAGATTTTGCATTGAGGTTGTGTGCCTCTCACATAATATGCAAAAGCATGCCCTGCTGCTGCAAGCAGTAAAGGCTGACCTCTGTTTGTTTCCTTTACCTCTGTATAGCCAAGCAAGCGGCTGCCTTTTGCACTGGATTGCCCAGGCTGTGGGCACGCCTCCTGACTCCTGTGGCACTGCAACTACTGCAACCACTGCGTCGCTTCACCACGAGGACGGTGCCGAACAAGAGTTGAATTCCTCGGCTTTGGCCCTGATGGAAGATGCATAAAGTTTACATAAGTCGTTGAGAAAGCATCTAAGAATCTAGTCACCGGGGGGAAACTTGGCCGCCTGATGTCGTGAAGAAGCGAAGATCTTGCAACTTAAAGTTGGCCTGCAAGGGCTTGGTTGATGGAATCCCCTGCGCACTTTAGCTGCTGCGCCAAAGCTTTGGGCTGGTAACAGTTGCTACCTCAAATCTTGTTTCAATTTTTGGAATGAAAGACGCAGGACAGCGCATCTTCTTCGGTGGATGTCGGGCAGCCTTGCGAGACGCAGGATCATCCACATCTGAACCTGTCATGTCTTCGAGCATTCTGAGCCCACGTTCTCGGGATTAGTGCTGGTGGAAATTAAGATTTGCGGTTCCAAGTCTGTGCAGGCTTCTGCAGTCTCCAGTGCGACTGCCTCACGGTTGCACAAGAAGACCTCGAAGCCAACAAGTCATCAGATTCAGACCATGCATGGTGCATGCCTGTCTGAGATCTCAGGCCTCCAAGGACAAAGCAGCCGGTCGAAGTGATATGGAGGAGCGACAGCTCCCATGGGGATACTAGCATTTCACTCGCCTGTCTAACTGACCGGCTGACATCGTCTGATTCGGAGGCAGTGTTCCCTGAAGTATACGCTTGAATTGCTAGCACCCTGACCAATTGAGAGTCCTTTTTGCAGAATATTGCACAACAGGGTCGCGACTTTGCGTCCTGCCAGACCCACGTCCGGGTCGTGGCTCGATTCAGACCCCCAGTCACGGACGAAGAGTTCAACGACCAGCCGGTCTTTTTGCTGCGTCCAGGCCAAGTGTCATCGTGTCGGGGAGTGTCATGCGATCGGGGAGTGTCATGTTGAATGTCATCATCGATGAGGCGACAACTCCAATGCCATTGACAGTGGAGTGGCAGAAAATGCCACAGTGGAGTCTCAGGATGGGTCCGGGCCTTTGTTTGGAGTTTGGCCGTGTCGGGCGGGAGGGTGACATTTCTCGTAGTCTCCAAGCTCCCTCCAACAAATTACACCCATAATGTAGGAGCCAAGCGATGCAGTTCCACAAAGTCGCTGAATGTGTCAGGGCATGTGTTCATGGTCTGCTTTGAGGCGATGGACCTTTGAATTCGACACAGCGTTCAGTGAAGAGGCGCCAGGAGGGACCGCAGCTGTGGTGGGTTTGGAGAAGTTGATGGGAAAGTGAGTGCAGCGTGGCACTTTACTGTAGTGTCTAGATCATGCTCCAAGATCGCTGGCAATCCCTAGCTGCCAGGCAAGCCAGCACGTGGTTTATGATCGAATTGGCCATCCGGCCGTGCAGGACGTTCTGGCGGGCCAGACACCCGAAAACCGGATCTATCATATCTTAAAATGCTAGCGATGTCTCGGCCCAGGCTACAACGGAACTATTCTGACGTACGGCCCGGTCACTCAGCCCTGAGTCAGCTGCGAAACACGATGGGAGTTGAGCGGTCCTCAGCTTCGATGCCTCCCGGGTAAGGTCAGACAGGAAGTGGGAAAACATTTACCCTCTTTGGGCCAAGTTTCACGGAGCTGGCGTCTCAGCAAAGTGCTTCATCCGGTAATGAAACCCCTAAGGACAGAGACTCGCAAGCTTGGTGCTTCCACTGGTTGTTAGGTTTTCATTCGCAGACAAGCAGACAAGCAAGACCTGACAGACCAAGGTAGCTAGAAATTGAAATCCGCATCTTCTGGTCTCTAAGCCCTAAATCCTAAACCCT